CCCCACCCATTATTAGATCATGTAGAACATTAAAGTAGGATATTGATGTAGCAGCTTAATATTTCATTGACCTTTGACTGAATTTACATGTACTGGCCACATTAAACAAACACATACAACCTCCTTATAGAACCCAGAAGAATGAGGATGATGATAACATAAGTACAGCAACAGAGTGAAGCATCAGCAAAAGGTGCCCAGTGTTATGCATCAGACCATCACAGCTAGACTATTTACCTCTGAAGCAAAAATATGCTGTAATTTGCCACAGCAATTAATTTGATCCCCCCAAGCCTGCAATGCATATGCTCTTACTACAAGTAAAAGTTCTATTGATCTGATTCATTTGCATAACTATAAGCAGCCACCCAATGCCATTTAACATTCCTGTTCAAGTCTGCTGAAAGAAACTGAGTTTCTCATGCATACACATCTACTTTTATCTAGGTTTGAATCCTAGACATGCAAACATCAAGCATACAGATTAAATACATATCTTTTGTTCAGAATAGTAGAAATCATATTCCTTGAATGAATTTTGGAGAAAAATATTGACATGAATTAAAAATAGTTTCTCTTAGTGTGTATCTTTAAACCATTCCTGAAAGTCTTTAGAAGGACTTCTGGATTCTTTTCAGTATTGTACATATGAAGCCAGCTAAACTTTGTTTGCCACTAATTAATGTTTATATTTGTTTAAAAATATTTAACACATTATTTAAGTGGTCTAAAAATATTCCCAGTCCCAAAAGACATGCAGTTAATTTTCTTAGGGGTCTCCATTTTGTATGCAAGTATTAAAATCCAATCTTTTTATTCTGAGGGATCATATTTTTGGAAAAAAAAAAAAAGCTGTAGATGTGACCTTCCACTTATTCATAACCTTCTAGATTCTGCATGCCTACTTGTAGCTCTACCCTAAGGATATTTCAGAAACTTCAGTTATACAATTCCCTTCAGAAAGAAGGCTTTAAGTTAAAGATACTGACTCCTGGGCTGCATTTTAAATTTTCTTTTCTTTAGAGAACTTCAAAGGGTGGAGTACTTTAGAGACAGACTTAACACAAGTATGAGATTAACTTTCTGTCTTCTAAATCTGTACTTAGTAACCTTAAAATGGACTTGAGTTTTCAAGTGAACAATACCTTGTCTTTCCCTCATAAGTCAGCTAGAGCTTACCACCAGACCCAGTATCCGTGCTGAGGACGATTTAGCCTCATGTATGTAGGGCTCATCCTAGAGAATTGTGTGGACAAACTTTGATTCTTTTCTTATTTGTTTAGCACCTCTTGAGTCTAGTAGGTTTTGGATGCAAATAGCACCAGTTTTCATGCACTCCTTACTGATTATCTGGAAGAATTACTGCTAAATTTGGTTGCTGAATTACCGCTTGCTACAATGCTAAATGCTAAAGGGAAGTACTATCATGCCTTTAAAGGCACTCAAGGGAAAGCAACAGTCAAGCATAGCTGCAGATACTTTCTAAGCTCGTAACTCAAACCATGAAGGTTTATTCCTTTACACATTCCCAAGCTCTCTTTGTTCCAAGATAGAATTATAGAGTCATAGAATCTCATGAGTTGGAAATGATCCACAAGGATCCTCAAGTCTACCTCTTAGCCCTGCACAGGATCATCCCCAAGAATCACGCCATGTGCTTGAGAGCTTGGTCCAAATGCTTCTTGAACTCTGTCAGGTTTGGTGCTGTAACCACTTGCCTGGGGAGCTGTTCCAGTGTCCAACCACCTCTGGGTGAAGAATCTTTTCATAATATCCAACCCATGGGTATTGTAGACATCATACTTAAAGGCAGCGTCTTCTATGTCTATGCTGTGTTGTGATTAAGTTTTACATCCACCCCCCACCCCATTTGTGCATACATGTACATGTATGGACATATAGATATTTAGCAGCAAACATACATATATGTTGTCCAATAGACATACAAGTATTTGCTAAAAAAAAAAACCCAAAAACCAACAAAAAAACCACATTAGTTTGGCTTTAATTGTGCTTAGTCATCATACATGATTTTTTGGACATCATTCAGTAAAAAAGCCTGCATCAAAATAGTACAAGTAAGGGCAGGTCTGACTTCAGCTACACAGAACTGTTTTCATGAAAATACAATAATCTGTATTGAATCTTCAGTTCAGCCCAGACTATCCTAGATTAATGCTAATATTTTAAATATTAGACACAGAAGATGTTTCAGAAAGAAACATATAAATACTGAAACATAACTAAAGGAATGTTAGGTGATACTACAAAGTAAATAAATCCTTGTTGAGACCATGACAAAGAATTTAACTATGTAAATTGCAAAATGATTAAAATGATTGATGATTATTAATATAGAGTAAATGAAGTCCAGGAGGATTAAACATTTGAGAACATCTCCCTCTCACAGTTGATGTAGAAATGCATGTTTTGATACTCCTCCATATGTTGTTGTTCTTATATAGCTAAGAACATTAAGTTTTGGATTGTAAAGATTTCCTACTCTCTTTAGGTCACATGAAATACATTTTCAAAAAATTAGTACTTAAAAAAGTAGTCACATAACGGGGATCTTCTCTCTTTCTAGTAGTGTCTTATACTGTTAATAAATGGCAAGTTAGAAGGAACTAAAAGAATATTATATGATATGATGGATAAGCTAAGAAAATCAGAACATGTTCTACTTTACAGTACAAATGAAATGATAATTATTGACATTAAAATAAAATCAAAACAACATTCAGTTTGACTGAGCATTTTCTAATATTTTGGTACTTTTTTTCTAAATTGTTCTTCTTAAAAAAGTAGCCAAATTATTTTGAATGATAGTACAGCTAGTTGAAAACACTTACTATGTGTGTGTTATGTCAAATGATGCGGTAATCTTTCCCTCTCTTTTGCAAAATTCTATAACAGTTAATACACCATTATTCCCTGTGTGAATACTCCTGAACACTTCTGCATATGCCAAAGAGTTTACCTGTATATCTCAGTTAAATTTATTTGCACAATTTCCTCTTTGGCCTTCATGATTTTGCTCATGATATGTACATTCCTATTGTATAGACAAACAGGGTGTTATTTAAGCAGACAATTGGCAATCAAAAAGCTACAAATGTTGAAATTTACTCGACAAAGTTTTGAATGATTCTTAAAAAAAACAATCCCTGGGAAGGCTTATGCAGTCAAAAGAGGAAGTAAATTACATGGTAAGCTTACATATACAGTGACGCTGCCTAGTGCTAATTATGTGGGGAAAAAAAAGAGGTAAAACCAAAACCAAAATTCCAGACTATTGTATCATTCCTCACAGAAGAGATTTTGTGTCTATAAGAAAGAGTGTTAAAAGATGATCCTATTACTCTTTGGTCAGCAGCTACTACTGTTTTTTCCTGCAGAATACAAAATAAACCTTTGCTTTAATGAAGAAATACTTCGTATTTGCGTGTGCACTGGCAGAGGCAAACCTGTCTTACATGAACACTAGAAACTAAAATGCAACATAAAATGTAGAATAAAGAATAATTCAGTGCACACACAAAAATATCAGCAGTGACAACTGTTTCTCCAGTACTGAAACCAATGATGGTTTCATGATTCAGTATTTCACAAGACTGACATTTGATAAAAAGCCATATTTGAAATGCTCAATTAAAGGTGAATTACATGTTCTTAAGAAAGAAAACAAGAAATTATACATTTGAAGACTATAACTGTTTTTGTTATATTGTTTATAAAATCTCTATCTTCTAAAATTATTCAGATGATACTTTAAAAAAAGCTTGAATATATTAATTCCACAGAAAATGTCCACATTTTCTTTATTTAAAATCAATTTAGGAGTTTGCTTAATTCCTACTTAACAAAAGAAATTAATGTCATGGATCAGATGATAAAAGCTGGCTGTTTTGAGTACTGTATTCCTATCAGCTAAAGATTAAAAGGACTTACCCTAACATTGAAAGATATTTATATCTAGGGTATTTAAGTGACATCTTCTGTAATGCCTTTTCTCTTTCAGGCAAACTTTGTGCAAAAAACCCAACAGAAATAGCATAACTACTTTGTCTTGTGTGGTCAGCAAAAACATGTAAATTCCAATTGTCTCTAAAGATTTTATCAGAAATAATACAAATCTGTATATATGTATAATAATACATACATACACACACACACACACAGACACACATATATTTATATAGACACACATGGCTTCTCCATGGACTTACTTGGATGCTGTGCATATGTAGAAGGTATTTTGTTTTTGCAATAATGCCACAAAGTAATATTTTAATATGAAAAAAATATTAGGAGTGAAAAAAAGAATACACTTGGTTAAGGAAATGGAATTTTAGTACCTCAAATTATAGACTGCCTTTAACAAAAAAATGCCCAGTCCTGCTAATTCTCATCAACTATAATTCTGTCTGAAGGAAATATTTGTTGTCCCTATTAACAGAGATTTTGAAAATTAGCATTTTAAAAATTTAAGTGACTCCTGAACACACTGATTTTTATGTATATACGCTAGTTTACTGGATTCCCCATACTAAAATATGCAACTATTGCTTTTTTCTTAAGAGATACCATTGCTTCAGAAAACAATGCAATGTCCTTGATAAATTTAATCTGCTATTGCAACACAGTGCTTATCAATAGCTGCCTTTCTGTTTGAAAGGTTCAGACAATCAAAAAAAGAGATAACAGAAATGCTAGCAAGATTGTCAGGGAACTGAATGTTTTCCTCAGAGAAACCAAATCTCTGCACACCTTCCTCATGCTGCTGAAATGAACAGGAGTACTCTCTTAAGTGAAGTGGGACACTTTCCATTTGTAACCTACAGGGTTCAATGAATTAAATTGTTTAACTTAAAATCATATTCTCCAGCAAGGCTTTTTTACTTTTGATTCAAATGTCTCCTGTTGAGTTCTTTTGAGTACAAATCTCAGTATGCAGTAAACATAACAATTCAAGACTGGTCAGCTGACAGCCAGAATACCTGGGTTGGGGAATAGATTCTGGTTTCTTGGCTCTGGGAGAGAGTATGCTGAGCGTGCCATGACCCAGAGTCGTGGGTTGGTGAAAATCCTCTGTCATCAGTCACACTGAAGCTTGGGGACGCCCACTGCCATAAATCAATCAATCAGTCAATCATTTATTAATCAGGTACTTGCATTTTCATAGTTAATATAAAAATGGGCTCTAAACAATGCCTTCTCTGTAATGATACTCCAGCTTTATAATACAGTGGGGTCTTTATCTTAAATTAATTCATCCTTTTTTTAAGAGAGTAACATATTAATCTGAAAAAGCCCTTGCCAATTGTACTGAAATAAATTAAGCCCTGCTGAAAGTTCAGCACTGCAAAATACATATGCCCATGAAAAATCTGAGCACATGAATAGTTCCTTCAAGTCAAGCCACTTTTTGAGGAACTATTGTATTCTGGATTTAGAATTTACATTCTTAATATATGGTTTAAGTTCTGCACAGACCTTTTCATTAGATAAATCTAACCTAAAACAGTTTCTTTTTGGGGAATGTCTGACTAATGATAATCTTACCACAAGAAAATCCAAATGATGTGTCCCAAGTCTACACGATAGTATGTTGTAATTAACATTTTGAGTAGGTATATTTAATTTAAGAAAGGACTTTAGATTCTAAAACTCCTTGACTAGGGTTTTGAAATTTAATACTGGCAATCTTCACGGAACATTTAGCCACAAAGGACCTTCTCATAGAGTCATCATTTTATTATTCTGAAAGTCACATGAAAAGCGAGTCCTCTTCTATATCCAGATGGGCCTTCACTCCTTCTAAGACTTTGGGCAACTCTACATGCCTTTCCCAATCAATGACAAACAAGGCCATCTTCAGAGTGACTACTCTGACTTCATTAAATGCCTATCACAATACTATCCCGGTTGTAAATGGCACAGTACATGTTGAAGGACGACCGCCTGTAACAGCCTCCCTGGTTTCAAACACTGGGTGGTATTTCTATTTATACAGCAGGTGAATAGGACAAACATTTCTAATATTCCATGCAGAACAGAAACCTATCAGGGGAAAAAAATAATTTCTACAAATTTACCATGACCCCTACTTGTATACTGAAAGACAGAGTAAGTTTAAACAAGATAGAATGTAAACATATTTTGCTGGAGCCTAAGTGGTTAGGAAAAGAAAATCAAATAATAGAAAACATATTCTTTCTGACAGTTCCTCCAGCTCTTTAATATTATGCACATTTAATGTTAACTGAGTTTTGTTTTTAGGTAATAATTTTTCTTTCATGTTACTCTCATTTAGCACAACCCTTTTGCTCAAATTTCCTCATGTAATTTAACAAGCTATCTGTGTTTAAGAGGAGTTGGTTATCTTCTTGAATACTGAGATAGAGAAGAGTTTACTTGCTAATGGAAATCTGCTCTCTTATAGTCACATCCGTATTTTCGAAGGTGTCCCCAAATCTTCAACCAACTAATATCCTAGAGACTGGAGTGGGGGCCAGTGATCCTGACTTGGAAATAGGTGTCTTTAAAGAAGCACTGTATTTAGCTCCTTTCACATCACTTAGGTGGATAAAGTAAACAGGACAGGATCTCTCTCCGCAAACTGCAAGCAGCACTTATTTCTCCTGGTTACCATTCAGGTTACCGAGATACTCAAAGAAGAGGGGTGTACCAGCAGTTTAAAGTACAGGGGCAAGCTGTGGGATGGCTCCTGTACCTGGTTTTTAAGAAGTGTTGAGCCATTAACCCACCTATGGGGCTATGGACCATGTTACCACTAAGCATGTTTGAAAGTCAGATTTTAAGTATTTTGGAATAGATTCACATAAACAGAGGCAGAAAAATGATAGTTTATGAAAACATGTCTTGCTTGCAAAGAAGTTTGAAAATCATGACATTGCCTTTGGGAGACAGTATTTCATCTACTGATGAAAAACTGTGATGATCACCCCTTTTTTACAGAACCACAGAATCAACCACGTTGAAAAAGACCTCTGAGATCAGTAAGTCCAACCCATTACCCAACATCACCTTGTCTACTAGACCATAGCACTAAGTCTCTTCTTAAATACCTCCAGGGGTGATGACTCCACCACCTCCCTGGGCAGCCCATTCCAATCTGATCACTCTCTCTTTAAAGAATCCTTTCTAACGTCCAACCTAAGCCTCTCTTGGCACAGCTTAAGACCATGCCCTCTTGTCCTACTGCTGGTTGTCCGGGAGAAGAGACTGACCTGCACCTGGCTACAACCTCCTTTCGAGTAGTTGTAGAGAGCGATAAGGTCACCCCTGAGCCTCCTCTTCTCCAGGCTGAACAACCTCAGCTCCCTCAGCCACTCCTCATAGACTTGTGCTCCACCACACCCACAGTAAAGAATGTTATCCCAATATCTGATTTAAACCTACAGTCTTTCAGTTTGAAACCATCCCCCCTTGTCCTGTCACCACATGCTCTTGCAAATAGTCTCTCTCCATCTTTCTTCTAGGCTTCCTTCAGAACTGGAAGGTCTGAAACTCCTTTTCAAGAAAGATCTCCCTAGTTTAACCTGGCTTAGTAGATTTAATTTTCTGTGTCTCCCATCTCACTGACTTGTGGAATAATTTTTGCATTTTTCAGGATAAAAAACATGGATAAGATGTTAAAATTTTGTGTCATCAAAAGATTCTGTTTGTATTCTTAGCCAGATATCCTATGATCTTGAGACAGGGTATGTAACTTGATTTGGTCAATGAGATTAACTAAATTGTTGCAGTTATTGCTGCAGTTTTTGTCTGTAAATTTTGTTTGTCAGACACTGAGCAGCAGAATGAAATTTGTGCGCACAACTATTTTTCTTAAGGAAAATAACTGAAGCTGGAACCTTGAAATCTGTTAAATATGGGCTATTTTTTATGCAGTAGTTGACTTTGGCAGTGTCCTCAGAGGTTGCTTCATTTAGGTTTCTCTACGTAGGTGCATTACTCCTAAGCCTTGGTTAAAGCTAGGATCTGCTCAGTCATGATGGGATTGGTGCTGGCAGGAAGCACTGCACACACCCTGCTTAGGGCAGCCCTAAGGTAGGGTACCAGTTTCTGACATCCGCACTTCACTCGACACCCAGGAGTTTATCGGGGAGTGCTGCAAATGGGAAATTGGTGCCTATGCACTTCTTGGTTTTTTGTCCTTCACAGGTGTGGCAAGTCATTAGGTGTTCACACCAACCTCCAACTCTGGATTTCTGTCAGTGCAGTTTATCTTCTGCCAGCTATGGGATGTTTCCTGCAATGTTGAGCAAAATTAGAAAAGTGAAAGAGGTTTTAATGTTTCTGCTGATCCAGTCATATTTGGACTAAATATACTGACTGCTACTTCATCAGCAGTAAACACATATTGCCTTCATTTGCCATTAATACAAAGAAAAATACTTTTATTCTTTTTACCTCTTCTTACTTTACTGTGAATGTGTAGCTCTAAAATACACCTTCAAATTCAAACTATTTGGTTACATTGTTTCTCAAACAGAAGAAAAGTGATGCTACTTTCACTTAAATATGATGTGATACTTGTATTTCCTTGTATTACTACACAAAATTGTGTCTCTGTTGGACAATTCTTTGAAAGCAATTGTATAGATACTTCAGTACATAGGAGGAAATTGCTGATGGTTATGCAATGGGATTTACTGCACTTCAAAGTGCAAGTGCAAGATACTGCAAAGTGCTGGTCTTATTACACTGCACGTTCACTCATTTTTACTGGCACATATATTTTAATGGGACAAAATAAAGATTGTGTTGACCCAGTATCTTTATATTACATAACTAGATGACTATTAGTATAATGAAAACTTTTCTAATTTTCCTATCATAAAAACATATCCAATGCTTTCCAAACAGTGGTTCAGCTCAAACAGCCAGCATGAGTCAGCCTACTACAGGTAAGTTTAGTAACTATTATGACCTTATAAAGAACACTGTAAGTATTTTAATAAAAAGGAGTATTTTAAATTAACTATCTGAACATTTTGATTAAAAGAAACCATATTTACACAATGCTTAGCAGCACATAAAATGGCATATAATGAGTATACAAATATGTAGCAGAGACTGACCTTCACTTTAAGATTCTGTGAAGCCTATAGGAATTAGCCAATATAGACATTAATAAAATGCTTCCTGAGAATATGAAGAACCTGTCTGCTATGAGGGTCCTGGAAGCTACCTCTAAGGCTAACTTGTCCTATTTCCCATACCACAAGCATATATTTATGGCCACGGAAAATTTTTTTAAGCATGCTAGGTACTTAGTACCTAAGCATGCTTAGTATGTAAGTACATTACCAGGCATTCACGCTGGCAGCCAACAGAACGTCCTTTAGCTGGCAGTATACTCCGAAGCCATACAGCGTATTACCTCATGCATGGAGCAACCCTGGAAACTGCTTTTCCATCACAGCATATATATATACAGACAGAAGGTTGGAAACGAGCCAGACATTGTAAGAACCTCTAAGAGATTATGGTGCAATACAGTTCAGCCTCTACAGTGCAGCCACCCACATGCATAGAAGTCAGGCTATGCACACTTCCAGTGTGTTACTACTGCCTTGCATCAAGAAAAGCCTACTCTAGCTCGTGTTTGCTCCCACCTCTTAATGGGACAGTTGAGTACCAGCTTGTTAGTTGGAATGTCTTCACATATGGTATCCCTAGGGCTGCTGACTGAAAATACTGGAAGTGAACAATGGGAGAGACTCAATAATCATCTTCCTCACTCCTCAGACTTGACACAAGCAGGGCTGAGGCATGCAAAAGAACAGCATTTCAAACAGAAGGTCAGCTTCTGCCAGTTTGAGATTCAGTGCACACATTTTATGTAACTAAGTTATTTTTGCATGCAAAATACGTACAGTACAGACTACGCCACTGTGAACCCTCCCCTACTTCACCACTGCCTCAGCCTTAACTAGGACCTGAACTTTTCTGCCACATGAAGTCTTAGCTCTCCTTGATGAGATTACAAATACATATATCAGCTAGACAAGATGTGAAATTCTAAGCAAGAAGACATTGGAGAACAAAATCTGCAGGCTGACACTCACATGGAATGCAATTCAGTTTGGAAATATTCACCAAAAAATTACTTTAAATGTTGCCATTTATTAAGTAGGCAGTTACGTTTAAAAAGCTATACAGGATGTAGTTCCACAATATTGTATTACCCTATTACAATTCATTTTTAAGAGGTTAGCAGGCCTGTGGGAATGGCACTGTGCTATGGACTTCACAGACTGTCTGAAAACCAACTACATGAGGCTACTGTCTGACTGCTGATCGGAAGTGAAGCTACCAGGTTTCAGCCCAGCTCCACACATAACTGGTCCCTAAGTACCACTCCTTCAGATACTCTTGTTTACAATCTCATGAGGAAATTTGGGAGCTGAAGGGCTGGAAATCTAGTAATCTCCTCAGAACAGGGTGGGGAGGTGTAAGAAGGACTGGCCCAGTAGCAGAGCTTGCATAGACAGGTTTGTTCTATGAGCAGAGGATTTCACTCTCCAGGGCTGCCAGATCCAGCACTTTTTCTATGAATTTATTTTAAAATCAAATTCACACCCCATTTTTACCACCACACATATTTTCAAAGATCATTTCTATGTTAAAAGTAGAAATGAAGGAAAAACTAATAGCTCCAAGTATCTCAAACTTTAAACTCCAAGCGGATTTCCAGTCACATAAATAAATGTTTTGGCCTAAAGTCTCTCAGCCCCCAAATTTGGGTATCAGTACGAAAGATGATAAATCCAGAAAATACCAAGCCTTACCTTCTTGTAGAGACTTCTCAGGTCTCTGTACTGCCACATACTATTGAGGACCTGAGATGCTGCTTTCACCACTTTAGGCGAATGCCTGTTACACACATATATTAAAAGGGGAGAGAGAGAGAAATAAAGAGTGAGAAAGAGACTGTTAAATACAAGACACCATTCATCCCAATTTTCAAATGCATTGTTATGGATTTAAACCCACAATTAAAGTGTGTTTCAAGTATACCATAAGATCTTTGGTTGGCATCTTGGAGATCAATGTATTTTTAAACAAGGGCAATATATATTATCTCTATAGTACTAATCATTCAGTGAGGAGCAAAACATGTGCAACTCAGTACATACAGGGATTCATGCTGAATGCATAGTAAGAGTAATGTGAGGTAGCAATTGCCAAAATTGTTGAGGACCCAACTGGCATTATATACATCTAAGATGTCCTGGCTGTAACTTTTGGCATAAAGGACAAGGAGTTTCTTTCTCTGTAAGGTGCCAAACTTCAGCTCTTGACAGTGTGCTCAACTCATTAAGTTCCTCTTAGCAGCGGCCAAAAGAAACACTCCAGTTGGGTGATAAGCACTGGATTTCAAGTGTACAGCCAAGATGCAGAAATAGAACTAATAATAAAAAGTCATCATAAATTTCATTAGGAATCCAAATGAGGATTTAGATTTAATGATGGCAATACAATGTCATGTTGAAAAGCATATAACTTCACATGGGCTTTATCTTCTGATAGGTTTTGAAAGAAAATGTAAACTATTGTTACAATCAGTTGGAGTCATATATGCCCACTGGAATAGGTAATTAAAAAAAATCTAAAAAAAATCGGTATATCAGAGAGTATTCATCTCAGTGAAGAAGGGTCAAAGAGGAACACAACAGGAAGATAATCCAGCCCACTGAGATAACCCAGTACACTGTGCAAGACCAAAAACATATAGAACACTAGAAAACCTTACAAAGGCCAAAGTCCAGAAGGAGGATTGATAGAGTTTGGGGCAATTATTGAGGTGATTTGTGCTTTACTCAAAAGAGGCATATAGATTGCAAAACCAAAGAGAAATCATAAAACCCAGTAGCATAAGTTACTGCTTTGGGCAGAAGTCTTCTCAGGGGTCACACTTTGGTTCATTCTGCGACTTCTGAGAAGGATCACTAGTAGGCTGACACTCAAGCTGGTAAAGTAATGTTCATGACACAACTTATTCAATTAACCTATATAGTATTTTCCTAGTAATTTATTTGATGCTTTTCCCCCCACTTTTATTCCACTTTTCACTCTGAGTACAGCAGTAGGTGGGTAATTAGTGAGTAAACAGGACTTTGATAAACCCTTTCAAGCATAATTGTTTTTATTATACTTCCAGCTGCACTGGCTGGTGGGATGCTGGTAGCAGGGAGTAACAAGGAAAATAACTGTGCCAACCATTGCATGAGTACTGAGGAGAGAAAGGAACTATGCAAAGTTGATACGGGCTTGGCCACTATAACCTTATGAACATAAGTTCTCTTGTGTGGTCATACAGGGAAAGCCCTGGGCATATTCCAAAGGCTAGTGGGGCCAGCCCCACACTCCTGGCACTGATATGTACCAGGGCGCATGGCCAGTCTAGTATCCTGCACTTGTAGACACATGCTTTATACTGGACAAGATGATTTCATACTGAAGTGTTTTATTGTATTAAATTGAGCATGCCAGAGTTTTATATCATTCCAACAACCAGCAATTTTGATTTTTAAACAATCAATTACATGTAAGAAACCAAACCAACAGCGCAGAGTACTAACATTTCTGAAAGCTGAAAAATGGAACTTCTACTTAAGATGAGCATTTGTAGCACTGTATGTTGACAGGTTTTCTTTTCTAGAACTGTGTAACCTGTAACAGTTGTAACACATGACTACAACTCAAAGTACTTGAGAGGAAGGATACATATCATGATTCAGAAGGGCATTTTGGAATTCCTCAACATTACCTGGGCTAAATATATTCATTAGAAATAGATGTATTTCACAATTATGAGGAGTATTTAGACAGGGAATTATACCCTCGGATCCTCCTAAAACTGCCCATGATACTTTGAAAATTACAAACTCAACAGGTATTAATAATCTCTACCAGATAATGAACGGGTAGACAAATGCATTATTCTGAGGAAAGACACATTCAGCTCAAGTGAAATGGATATGAACCTACTTGCAATATCAGTAAATTTGATCTAGAAAATATAAATATAAATTTAAATAGATTTAGTAATAACAAAATGCAATTGTAAACAAATTGGCAGAGCATGGGGAGTTTCCACAACGGGAATCACATACTTGGTCATGCTACTATGTTTTACCCCTTATAATTAGAATGTAAGAATGTTTCAAAAATGAATTTCTGGTATGAAAGGAAAAGGGTGACAATAGAGGAAAAGAAATGTGATTAAATTATATTGGCAATGCTCCGATCACATAGGCGAGCATAAGTTCTCATACCAAATGTAGGGTGCATAAATCTTTCCTTCGGGTTGTGCCTGGCTTTGTGGGGCTCTTTTAGAGCTCTGATGCTGCAGTAGGCTGTGTGATGACAGCTTCAAGCAGGTGGACTGATGGGTTTTGTACACTACAGTGAAGGCTTTTTGTTTTCAAACTGCCATAGTCCCATTGCACTATACTTCAGCAGGTTGACAAATATGAGAACCAGGCTATCTGTTTTAGGCAAAAGAAGGATAAAGAGTGAACTCTTCATGAAGAGTGTGTACATAGGCAAACAGACAAGATGAAACCATAGCTGTTCTGAAAATGCCACAGTTGTGTGCAAGACTTTTTTTGCCTCACAAAGCAGCCTAATGCTCTCTTAGAAACAAGTAGTTAGGAGAATCCACGTATCTGTTTTTCTACTATGTCCTGCCTTACCAGCAAGCTGGTGGCAGGGAAAAGGCTGCTGTGAAGAGGGACAGTGACTTTATATTCTTCATTCCTAGAGTAAGAGGAGCAGTCACCCCTTCTGCAGGGTGCAATCCAACTACTCTGGTCCCTAATGTTTATCAGGATCTTCTGGAATTGCTCGGAGGTAGTGATTACTGTAGATAATTACTCTTCCTTAAAATGCACGTGGAGTGCACTCCTTGCACTGTTGATGGTACATCAAAAACAAACCAAAGCAGAGGGAGACTTTTGGTACTGCCATTGTCTGTTTCTTGTCACCTTTCACACTGGGCATATGACTTCTGGTGAAACTAAAGAATTCAACTCACGATTGCACAGAGAAGGCAAACACATTGAGGACTAGTAATAACTACTGGAGAGGTTAAAAAGGTGCAAGGTGATTTGCAAAACATACTTGTCTCCTTTACTCTTAGATATGCCAACCAGTTTCTCAATGCCGCCTGCGTCTCGTAAGGCCTTGGCATTCTCCATGTTTTTAGTGATGACTTCATGCAGAGTGCAGCAAATGGCAGTAACGGTGTCATCAGACATGGCCTTGCTCGCTGAGCTGTTGCTGTTGTTAGCGCCTGGCAGTCGGTGGACCAGATCCCTCATGGCATACTTGCCTTTGTTGAAAGAAAATGAAGGGAGAATTCAGAAGATACAGCAATAACGGGTGATGGAGAAGAAGTACAGGGAAAACATGCAAGACTATTAGCACCACTTGCAGCACTGCATGTAATCTAACTGGATACTGATATTATTTTGGAGAAAACCACATTTATACGATTGCATGTTCAAGCATTTCACACATTATGGACTGTAATATTTCCATACTGCATCAGTTGGAGACTTCAGATATGGCTACATCATGCCCTTTAAGAGTATGAAACTATGATAGTAAAGGCAAGTATACGTATAAAGATAACCTGAATAACACAATTTACCAAACTTGGCAAGTCCTCATCTCCCACCAAACAAATCACAACTTGTTACTATAAATAAAATGTGCATCAATTGTTAAAACCTCAAGAGTAAATGCAAATCCAACATGGTTATTTGTGAAAAAGTCTTCTCTGAAGGACCAGTTTCACAGTACAAGGTTAATTCTATGCTACATTCAGTAATTTAACTGGATTTATTAGTGTTTCTTAGACTGTATTGTTCAGAGAGGACACCACCTTTCCCACACATCCTTAGCTGTACTGACCAGAAAGGAATTGACCAGACAGGGAGCCTTTCTGACATCTATTCCAGTCTGGTATTTAGTAAGGAGTTACTTAAGGAAACACTAACCTCCAGAACTTAAAATATCCTAAAGTGAAAGGAATTTTTACAATGGTCACATTGAACATTTCATGAAAAATAAATTCTGTCAATTACATTTGGACTCAATGATCTTAAAGGTTTTTTCCAACCTAGATGATTCTAAGATTATTATAATTTTTTTCATGTTTCAATGAACAGACTTTTATTTTTTTTTGCAAAATTTCCCCTGAAAGTCATGTAGTACTTGTGAAAATAATACAAAACCAGCTTCTGAGAATTTATATATGTAGTGTAAATGTAAATGTAAATCCATATAAATGTAGGGCAGGGTTAGCACCAGCACAGATACACAAGAAGCCTCACATCAGTTCTAGAGGATCACTATTATGGTAAGTGGTTGCTCACTCCTTCAATGTGATGAAGAGAAGACCTGAGACGGTGCAGGCCTGATGAAGTTATTACTTAGGCCAGTGAAGCAACTCTGAATCACCTTCAGTGCAGCTGTGGTAGGAATTTGCATACAGCAATCACCATGAAGGATGAAAAGGACAGGAAAATTGGGAAATATAAATATAATTAGTAATCTAATCTACATCCCATTTTGTGAATGAAATAATCAGGTATGATTATTGTATATAATATGATAATTTAATCAGATTTTTTGATAACTTAAAAATGTTCTGATCAATTAGTTTATGAGTACTTATTAAAAACGTTATTTCTGAATTCATAAAAGTTGTTTGTGTCCATATTTGAAAGCAGAGGTAAGAAGAAAGTCACATCTTTTAACTATCTGACATTGAATCATTTTTATTTGTCACAATTTTGCCTGATGTGGTAGAACTGCAGTCAGTAGTATTCACACAGGATATTCATAATAAACATAAAAACTGAAATCTCTGTACTGAATGGTTAAACGTAAAGATTATCAAATAGATTTTGTGGTAAGGTAAGGTCTTAGAGAATACTCACTCTATATCATATATATCATATATAAACATATATCATCATATATCATATATCATATAAAAGCATTCCTGATTATCAAAAACATAACATTCCCAACAAAATGTGTGCAGTAGCATTTGAATCTTGCCAGTGTGCTGCAATACAAATTCTGTCCTGGAACATTTTTATTTCTTTGAACTCAATATTTAATTTACTTGCATCAGAATTTTAAGCAATATTGTTAATATCAGACATAGTACAGCTGTTAGCACCACTTTCTCTTTCAGAAATGGTTTGTTTGAGCAAACTGAAACTCTTCTTTTCCCCTATACATTTATGAAACACTGTTGTACAACATCCTGATATGCTATCTACATCTGCATCTGTTCGTTCTGTGTAACATGAACACATTAATAATTGTTTCTCACTTACAGTGATTACTTCAGTTTACAACATATATCAAATTAAGCTTGTATATCAAAAAATAAATTAAACTATGATTTGATGTAGCTTTCACTCTTCTATCTCAGTGCCTGCCACTTGTCAGGAGTAGGTACAAGTAGATAGATCAGTGAGACCTTCTCCTTTACTCTGTGCACACATCCAGAACAGACCAACGTTCCTTTTTGTTTTTACACCTCACTTAAATTGCAACAGAGCATCTCATCACCTCAGTCCTCTGGTGGAACCAGATCACAATGATCATTCCATTAGCAGCCAAAGATTGCAAGCCTGAGCACGGGGTATAAGGAAATCTGGATGGCTGCCCCAAGCAGATCTCTTTCCTGGAACTGGTCTAGTATTCCAGGCAATAGTATTCATACCAGTACACATGCCTAGACACACAGGATGCTTCTTACAATAAATAAAAGCTTTTGGAGCTATCAGGGAAATCTCAGTAGCAAAACTGAAACAAACACAATCAAGCACAGTATAAGTATTCTGGACATGCTAATGCTCAGCAGTTCTAACATTTCTGCTGTGCACACCCTTCAGTTAGGCATGAGAAGATCAAATCAGTATTAGATACTTCCAATAATACAGGTTTCTTATAGATATGTAACAGTGGGACAGTACAGTATTCCTTATTCTGAACAGTTTTAGTAATTCCAGCTCAATACTGCTATTCAATTCTTAATCAGCTGTGTATTTAGACTATATTATATTATGTGTAAAATATATTCTGAGTGGGTCTGGTTGGGTTTTTTTTTTTTTTTTGGTTGGTTTTGGCTTTTTTTGTTTGTTTTGTTTTTAGTTTTTTTTTTTCCCTTGAGAATTGCATGAAATTTAGCCTTTGGATAGTAGCAAGTGCCAGAAGACTGACAGTACACATTTTGTAGACCTAAAATCTAGTGAGTGTATTTCAGCTGTTGCAGCTATGCAAGGTGGTGCCTAGTTTGTAGACAACCCCCATCAGAACCTGAAATGACAATGCCAGGCCCCAAGTCCTGCCAGGAGCTGCCTGTGGGGGTGACAGGCTTCCTCCTCCCTGCCCTGTCCCCAAGAGGCAGCAGAAGACAGAACTGCCACCTCCAACAAAGCTTTCCCCACACACGTGAGTAAAAGCAGCTGACAACAATTCAGACAGGCATCATGGCTCAAAACGTCCTTCCAGGGCTTTACCACAAAAAGGTGGCACACCAGCTGCAATAAGAGGAAAGTTGGGCAACAGAGTTGATCTAAGCCAGTGCTTACATGGCCTTAAAAATCTATTAACAAGAGTAACTGTTAGCATATTTTCTGTGGTTTGAGTACTTTGAACACTGTGTTAGCTATTTGAAAATAGATGTGGGATGAGAAAATCCCCTGCCTCAGCCATAAAATAATGTGGCATTAATTTAATTTCATTCAAAACTTATACACCTACATATTTAAAAAGTAGTAAATTTGCTTTAATATAGAGTTAAGTCATGGAAGTAGAAAGTGGAAGACTATATATACTTCAAAAAACATTCCACAGTAACTTGTTTGAATTATAACCATATTTTCTAAAACTATACATGTAGTTAGGTAATAAATTATACATTCACAGAAAAAAACATCAGTTACAGTTAACTTGTCTTAACTCAATTATGTTCCTACTGCTTTTCTATAGACATGAAGAAGAGTCATGGTTTTCTAGCATTAGGTATAGAAGAAACCTTGCTCTACTTTAGAGTGGCACAGATGTCAAATAATGCCAAAAGGTATTGTTGCATCAGCCCAACACAGCTGACAACACATATGATCTTTGAGTTTTGAATTAATCTGTGTTAGATTCTGTAGAACATTTGCATTTAGTTTTTTTTTTTTTAATGTTAAGAACCTATTCTGAAAGTAGACTGAAATGTGTAATGGAAACTAGTCTTGTAAACTAGTCAGCAAAGTATTATCTAGCACTACTAGTAGATAGGCTGAGCAATTCAGCTTGTAGCACAAGAATCCTCCCTGAAAGGAAGAAGTGAGAACTGATGAGGGTCCTGGGAAGAGAGGTGTACGTGTGTGAGGATTATATTTAAAATAAATAGCACTGTTAATTTTCATTAGGGTTCATACAGAACTACTTTGATCTACAAACAGATTGATTTTTTATTTGAACAACACACATTGTAAGACACAAAAATTTGAAGCTTTTAAAGAGGATTTACATAATATGTAAACACGGCCAACAGCTTAACAAGAAAAAAAAAATCATATTTATTTGTTCAATTTCATTCCTAAAGGAAGACAGAAAGACATTACATAGCCATGAAAGAAAAGGGGTTCTCCTGTGGGTGCCTGGGACAGCATTTTTCTCATACTATACATTTAAATAAGTTATTTTTCTCAGCCAGGACTTCCATCACTTTCATATTAAGAGGGTGATTCATCTAACACCATGCATTAAGTCTTTGACTGCAAGATGATAGTATTTGCTTATTATTTCAACAATGAAGATTTAATGTCTTTTCCTTTGCATGATAAAGTCTCATTAGCACCTTAATAGCTGCCTCCATTACTTAATTCAGGAAACTTATTACTTCATGGGATCAAACTGATAGCTGGCCTAAGAGAGATTCTGCCTTCAGAGCCAAATGGTAGAGCAAACTATTCTTCTGGTAGATTTAACCAGAGTAAAAGCATCACAGATAAGGTTCTACTTCTGGAAATATTTCCCTACTATTGCCTTGAGACAAATTCACTGCTGTTGTGACCTCGTTGACTTCATTTCCATTTTCAGTCATCTCTGAAAAATTACTTTGACACCTTGGCAAATTTATTAAATACTTATGACATGGTTCCTAGTTTGAGGGAACAAGACTAGGAAAATTGACCTATTGAAAAAACAAGAAACCTCAAAAAGTTACTAATTCAAGCTAAGAACCCTGTCCTAGAAGTAGAGATTGTTCTATAAAAGTAATAGTTCACCATTTTTCTCCCCCTTTAAGAT